TTAAAAGTCCAAAGGATATATTTGCAAGCAAGGTTATAAATACCTCTTAGGTGTCATAAAGTAACAAGTAGTTAATTATATCTCAAGAAACAACCTTTGGTGGAACGGATCTTCGCCTTTCATCCAATACTCGAGTCTCGAAGGAGCCGAGCAGTCTGCAAGCGTTCCAGCCCGCCTGTCTTGTAAACCATTATACAATCAGGTATTTAATAATCAACCGTGCAAGTATACCCAGCCGTCTTGTCGCTATTTATTCAGTTCATTACGCCATTTTTTATTATTTCGTTTTTACTCGCTACATCTACCGCCTTCGGCTAGGAGATCGCAATTTGTGGGATGGTTGATGGTAAGCTATGCTGGCTAGTTATTGTCTTGTCCATTAGTGGAGTATTCGCAATGTATGTTTGGGATTTAGCACGGAAAAGGAATTTGGAATGAAGATTAACCATCACGGTAAAGTTAATTGAATTTCCTGGATTAGTAGGAATTCATTTATAGGTAATTTCAACCACATTGTATAATTACAAATTGTTGAAATTTTTGTTTCACTGCATGTTTGTAATGCATAGTGTACACAAAGTAAGGAAAGTAAGGTGTTCATTATACAGGGTATTTCAAATGCGATCCTCACCATTGGTATCTCGGAAACTATGACTTTCACGAATGAAGAAAAAAGAGATATGATACAAATTTATTACAAATACGATAGAAACAATTTTAGGACATCGGAAATGTATTTAAACTTGTACCTATCCCGAAAGACGACCACCACATCGAACTATGTTCAAGTTATTGGATCAAAATCTCACCGAGTTTGGTTCATTTGAAAAGCCGAGGAAAAAATACAGATACAGAATCAACAATCAACATTTGATAAATGAGGTGTGTATGAGGTAAATTAGATATTGTATCCTTTTTAATGAAAATAGAACTTTGAACAAATAACAATAATTAACTAAAATGTAAAGACAAAAGTAAATTACAGCAAATCCTCAAAATTCTGGCCTTGTTCATGATAACACAACTGTGCCCTTCTTTAAAATTTATTCACTGCACGATCAATTTCTCTCCTCCTCAATCTTTCGAACTCTCTAACAATGCTGTGTTGAAGGTCCTCAATATTTTGATGTTTCCTCTGACCATAACCTATTCCCTATCCACTATTCCCTATCCATTTATCACCAAACCTTTCAGTCAGGTAATTAGATACTCGTCTGGTAGTGTGCGGTGGAACACCATCATGTTGAAACTAAATGTTGTTATAGTCAGCCATAGGTAGATCATCCAAATAGCCTTCGAAAATCGACATTAAAAACTGGTGTCTCCATTCAGAATTCCGTCAAATAAATGAGAATCTAAAATTCTATCTTTGTAAATTCTTGCCCACTTTCCTCATAAATACCTCCTTTATCAAATTTTCTTTAGTTTCCTGGTCCATTTTGTCTTCTTATTGTTTCTTTGGCTTTTCAAATGAACCAAACACGGTGAGATTTTGATCCAATAACTTGAACATACTTCGATGTGGTTGTCGTCTTTCAGGATATAAGTTTAAACACATTTCCGATGTCCCAACACTGTTTCTATCGTATTTGTAATGAATTTGTATCATATCTCTTTTTTCTTTATTCGTGAAACCCATTTTTCGCCAGAAATTCAATGACTTATACAATAACAAAATTTCCGAGATCCCAACGGTGATGATCGAATTTGAAACACTCTGTATACAAGAGGAGAATATTCTCAAAAAATCCTTGGACACGTCAAAATTTGTTCAAAATGTGCATTTTTTGTCGTTTTAGTAGGATTGGTGACATTTATAATGTTCCATATATGACGTCTCGACAATTTTTTTAAACGACAGCCACCTTTTTATGTTGTAATTCCAAAAAAACATTCTATTCCTAGGAATTCTCTTTTTATTATCGCAAGATAACATTTTTTATCATAACTTTAGCCTCAAATGATTATTTCAAAACGTAAAACAAGTGTGCATATTCAAATGTTTTCTCCAAAACTCAATAGAATAGTTTAGTGTGTCTATCTGACTTGTTAAAATTTAACGAATCATCAATATGAACAGGTAAAAAACTCTTGCAAAAAATTGTCAACTCATCTCTACCTTCTTCGCCAGCTGGAAAGATTTATAAGTACCAATACTGTAGTAACTGCGTATTAATCACTATTTCACCGCCATTCAATGTATGGAACTCTTTCATGGGGAAAATCCTCTCATGCTCAAAAGATTTTCCGTATGCAAAAAAAGCACTCAGAATAATAGCTGGAGCTACATTCAACGAACCATGTCAACCTCTCTTCATCTTTTACAAAATTCTGCCTCTGCCTTGTATATTTGCCAGAGATCCATAAAAAGAAAAGTATATTCTCCACCCAATCAGACTATCACAATTATCCCACTGGAAATGCAGATAAACTCAGACAACCGCTTAATAAACTTGAAATGTCTATACGAAATTCACTGGAACTCAAGTTGTATAACCTTTACCAGCTGACCTCACTCAGTACAGTACTCAATCATTCAAGAGGGGAGTTAAAACATTTCTTTTAAAAAACTGTTTTTACTCAACACAGGATTATATGAACAGTTTTATTTCAAATGATCATTAACAATTGTATACTATCTTTTAATTTTGTACTCAGGGCAGCGTGCATTTGCACATTTTTTGACCTGTCACAAATGTATTGAATGCATAACATGATTAAATGAATTATGTCTGTCTGTTTATCTGTCTATGTAATGAAGTATCGTGATTCATGCAGAAATATCCACAGGACATCACCCCCCTTTCATCACCTTCAACACTTCGATGCCGAAACGAAATAAAGCAACAGAATATGTGCGGGTCTTCTATTACTGTATACGATGGGGGACTATTTGTATTTCGGGAACTGGCAACACAAATGTCAATAGGTGAAATGTGGCAACGCCATAATAAAGTTTGACATTTTTAGCATAAACGTATTCACAACGTTTTGATGTACGAGTGCTATTTATTTTGTTTACAGTGAGTTAAGATAATCAATTTGACTAAAAAATGGAAATTTCAAGAAAAGGTTTTCGTTGGCATATTTTTCACAACTTTCGACGTGGATTATCTCAACAAGAATGTGCCAGTTCTTTGTATGGCGATAAAGCACCATCAAAAACCACAGTGTATCGCTGGTATAGTGAATTCAATTATGCTCGTAGTTCGATCTCAGAAAAACTCCTAGAAGGTCGTCCAAAATCGGTTGTTGTGTCAAAAAACATCGATTCAGTGCCTTGAACTGATGCAAGATCGTCGTGTTACATATTGTGAGATAGAGACATCCTTGCACATTAGTTCCACTTCAATACATTGGATTTTGTATTAACACTTCGTTGTAAAAAAAATTGTTCTCGTTGGATACCCCATACTTTATCAATCGCTCAAATGAAGGCTCGCGTCAAGTGGTGTAAGGAAATGATTAAAAAGTTCGACCGTGGTGCTTCAAAAGCACCGTAATAGGTGACGAATCATGGTTATTTTCGTATGAGCCAGAAACAAAACAGCAATCGACCGTGTGGGTATTCCAAGACGAGCTTAATTCAACAAAAGTTGTTCGTGGAAGATGCACAGCGAAGCAAATGCTCGCCTGTTTTTTCGGCCGAATGGGTCATGTGGCCACTGTTTCGTTTGAGCAACGTAGAACGGTCAATTCTGAGTCGTACGCCATCATTTCTCCGAAAGTCTTCGGATAAATTCGTGAAACTAACCGTCGAAAATGAATCATTCTCCATCATGCAAGCTCTCACACATCTCATCAAACAGGCGAATTTTTGAGCAGTCAAAACATCGAATTGATGGATTATTCTTCGTACAGTTCTGATTTGGCACCCAATGACTTCTTTTTTTTCGAATATCAAAGGTAAACTGAGTGGTCAACGATTTACGAGGTCCGAAGAAGCAGTTGAAGAGTTCAAAAACCATGGTTTTGGGGTGTTTCAAGAGGAATAGAAAAACTGCTTTGACAAATGGTTTGAACGAATGCAAAAATGTGTTGATCATCAAGGGGAATATTTCAAAAAACGTTAAAATCATTTTCATTATAAAATGTTAGCTATTTCCAAAATATAAATAGTACCCCTCGTATAT